AAACTTTTTACTGACCATTGCGCCACCTATTAATGGCACACTGTGAATCTATACCTGTGATATACTAAAAACCTGTTGAACAGGCCTAGTTTAGATTTACCAATATGACAATTATCAAAATGTAAATAATTAAAATTATTGTTAACAACTAGTCAATCTTTGAATTTTTAATGTTTATTAATTTTAACGCAATAATTTAATAAACTCACAATTTATGTTTTTTTTATTATAAAATTTACTTAATATTAAAAAAGTACATAATTATTATATTTGTGCTTAAATCAGGTTTAAGCAGCAATTATAAATTCTTGGGCAAATTAATAATAATAATTTGCAGTGTTATATAATAATAAAAATAAAGTAAAGGATATTATTGATACCATTATACTTGGGTATATTCTAAATTAAAAGTATTAAAATTAAAAATTTAAAAATACTATAATTGAGCTTATGTACTGTTTTGTATAAATTTTTATAATAATAATAAAGTTTTAACATATATAAAACAGTACAAATAATAATCAAGCTCAATTAGTGAGCAACTGTTTGCGTATGGGCTCGTGATCGCCGCCGGCGTAAGTCTTAAACATGCATACAGTTAGGCACTTAATTTGGCCGAACGTGGCGTTTAGTTCAAGTGACTCTTTGAATTCCTGCTGCAGTTGTATGGCGAACATCGACTCGAGCCCTATCTCGCCCAGAGTGGTCTCCGAAGGCGTAGTGTTTGGGTCGACGCCCATCACTGTCCATAACTCGGCCACCAGTCGACTGCCGGCCTTCCCTGTTGATTGGACCGTCCGGTTGTCGTTAAATACCTACACAAATATAAAAATAATTAGGTTAGGTAAATATTTCAATTATACAACAATTAATACATCAGTTATACATTTGTTAGCGTATAGTTATATAACAAAAATTAAGTGTAACAGTATTCACCTGGGACGTGAGCACCGGGTTGTCAATAGCCAACATTGTGTCCAACACATCGCACGCCGAACGGACCGACTGTTTACGACACGCGGAGACCAAATCGATGTAATCGTAGCCGAGTCCGGCGCCCACATCGCCCACCAGTCCGTACTGTACGGCCAGCGCGTGGAGGCCGTCGGCGCGCCGGCGTTCGCACAGCCGTTCGCACACAGAATTGCCGTAACCATAGTTCGCGAGTCCGCTCAGACCCTTACCAGTGGCCTGGGACGAATAGAAAACAAAATAATCTAGATGATAGTCTAGTTGCCTGGTTAATTGGTCGAGATTGGCCAACGCCCGGTGCTTTGGGGCCACTGTTTGGTCAAATCTGTCCCAAGACATGTTCTCGTATAGGCTTTCATTCATTACAAATGCCAAATGAAATACCCCTCCAATGGGTCCCAACCCCAGGGCCTCCGCCAGTAATTGTGTCGCGCCGTTAATAGTCAACGCATTGGCCGTCGATATAAACAAATCGCACTTAAAATACGGCTTATCCTCGAAGTAGTGTTTGAAACGATTGATAAAATATCGTTTATAGTTATCGCTGAGTCCCGACCGGGAATTGAGTACAAACTTTCGGGCGCCCCTGTAGTGCATCCACGGAAACAACTCCAGCCCAATGGCGCCCAAACCGCCGGTAATTATAAAGACTTTATGGGGATTAAAAAAGGTTTTTGCGTAAACCATCATGGTGGCGGTTGGGGCCGGTGGTACCCCTATCAACGGCCCCCTATCGGGCTCTTCGTCGCGCAGTTTAACAATAACTTTGCCGATGTGTCGGCCGGTTGTCATGTATTGAAAAGCTGCGCCGGCGTCGGCCGCGGCGAACGCCTTATAAGCCAACGGCCGAACGCAGCCGTATCGGCCGTCCGCTGGCAAACAGCACTCGTCGCGCAGCCAATCGGCAAATTGGTTGATGATTTCCGGCCCGACGTTCAGCACCCGATCGACGGCTACGCCAACGTATTGTAAGCCACGAGTAAAGTGGCGACGATCTAGGGTGCCATTATGAACTAGGTCCGATTTACCCAGCTCAACGAACCGGCCCCCGTCGGCCAAACACTCGAACCCCGCGGTCAACAGTTCGCCGGCCAACGAATTGAGTACAATATCGACGCCCCGACCGCCGGTGCCCTCCATTACGGCGCTCTTGAATCTGATATCACGCGAACCGAGTATACGGTCCGCCGGAATGTTGTACTCATTCATTAGAAATCGGCGCTTCTCGTCGGTGCCGACCGTCGCGTATATATCGCACCCGTAGTGTTGGCACACATTGATAGCCGCCTGACCCACGCCTCCCGCCGCCGAGTGTATTAAAATTGTTTCGCCTATAATTTTAACAGCGAACTTGTTTTATAAAAAGCATTTATTTTATAAATTAGTGTAACAAATGTTTATACCTTTTTTCATTAGTGAATTTCTAATGAGAGAGTAGTATACAGTAAAATATACGTTCATAATAGTGGCCGCTTCGGCCATTGACCAGTGGTCGGGAACGGGAATCGTACGGTTGGCCAACAAATTAATACTAGTGGCCAAACATCGGCCGCAATCAAAGCCCATCACACGTTGCCCGGTGTCAGTGCGGCGGCCGACGAAATCGTTGCCCAGAAAACAATCCGTGAATTGTAAGTCCGTATCGCACGGTAAACGGCCTAAAAACATTTAATATTATATATTGTAATATACAAGTTTGCTGTATGTTTAGATTGTAATATATATATATATACAGGATGAAGAAATACATGTAATGTTATATTTAAATATATATATATATTTTAAATTCTGAAATGTGTCTTAATTAAATCGTAGGTGTAGTATGAAATTTATGGTTTAAGCATAGAGGTTTGACTGTATCTCATTACCGGTTGCCAGCATAACGTCGCGAAACGAAACGCCCGCGTAATATATGTCGACCCGTGTTTTGTGGTCACAGTTATCATTAAATTCGCAGCCAGAGTGAGACAATTTGCTTGCGTCAAACCATTTTAAGCCGGATAGGCCCCGGGTTTGGCCCATATTGAAATAATAATCATTTGACACACATTTATCATAATCATTAGCCAACTTTAAATGCCTATAAGTGCCCACAACTCCGCCTTTAATGACATTTGCCATTAAATCGGTGGCAAACATGTGCAAATAGATATTCGACGCGATATCACTGTTAATATTTTTGGTCGTATTGTTATCGCAATGGAAAATATATCGCAATCTCTCTCCTCCCGGCTCTAAACGCAAACAATTCATTAAACCAATGATACCATTGATTGACGTGTCGTTTGAAATAAGCCATAGTTTATTACATGTGTTTTTCGTTTGATTTAAATTAACTATTTTCTCTTTCAATACTGGAAACCAATTCGCGTAATCATTTGTTATATTAATTATATTCTCATCGCTGGGAATCGCGTGTATTTTGTCAACCTTTTTGAACAATACAACAACGCTTCCTATTGTGTCATATTTTGTGGCAACGATTTTGAAACCAATTTTCAACGAAACCAATTGAAACGCTTTGAGACGTGAATCCAAATCATTATTTGTCACACAATTTATTGTCGTATTCAATAAATTCAACGCAATCTCCGGTTCCGTAAACTTATGCCGAAATATTGTTAATAAAAAACCATTGTTTTCTATGGAGTCATACAAGTCCTGAATAAAAGCATTCAAATCCAATGGCCATAACTCTGGGGAGTCTCTCATTATCACTAAATGTGATGGCGTTAGCCGTAAGGCACCGGCACTCGGATCCCAGCCCTTCGCTCTATCGCCATATTCTTCGGTCAATTGTTTGTAATTGTGTTTAACAAATAATTTATAATTAACGTTAAACGATAATATACGGAATCGGGTTATTTGTGTCTCAACGTGGCTAATTAACGGACACCCTGTTAGATTGATTTCGGTCACGTTTATATCGTGTATATTAAACATATTTTCGCACACAATATCGACTATAGATCGTAGAAAGCGGTCATTTAATTGGATCTGATTTATAATATCATTACTTAAATCGTATTCTGGTTTCGCCAGTATTTCATTCAATATATCATTAATAATATCATTATTGTTATTATTATCAATAATATTCTTGTTATTGTTATCCAACATTTGGGCAATAATTATGTTGAATATGCGAAACAAGACATAGTTTCCATTGTTTGCATTTTGATATTTATCTAGCTCTTTTTCTGTGTAAGTATTATCATCGCTAAACTGGCAATTCATTTGCTTAGCACACAATTTGTATACTTTGGCGGCCATCGATTTGCAAACCTATTATGGAAAATTAATTATTATTAATATTATTATTAGCATAAATATAATAAAGTATTAACATATTAAATTTGAGATAACAAAAGAAATTAAATTAAATTTCTAGATTTATAATTTGAAAACATGCAGATAAATTTAATTTAGTTCATTTCATTGTAGGTGTCTAGATTTTAAGTAGAGATTTTAATAATAGATTTTAATATGTCATTAATCAAATGAACATTTCTATTGATTAAAAATATTTTAAATTCTAATTATACGTTAAGATTTACATAAAATAATTTCAATTTTATCCGGAAACAATAAGTAAACATAGAACAAATCACAAATTAAATAATTATTTAAATAATCAACAAGGAAATACTGAACAATTCCAACTTCAAATAGACGACCATTATAAAAATATTTTTGTTAAATCAATGTTTTATATTAGGTTAAGTTAGGTAAAATTAGGTTAGGGGTGTCAGAAAGGTAATTATGATTATATTTGCTAAGGGGGAAATCTTTGGGCCCAAATTGCAAACCCTATTGATAGTGGTATGAAAATGTGCAGAATTGCCACCAGATGTTTAATTCGTCGTCAAAATTGGCAAATAGCCAGAGACATTCGAGTACTGGCCGATTTTCAAATCACGCGTCTATGGCTTATAGCACTACATTCATGTGATCGACCATTTATTATGTGAATCATCTTTTTTCAATGCAATAAGTCATAGACGCGTGAATGTACTCGAATGTCTCTGGCCATTTGCCGATTTTGACGACGAATTAAACATCTGATAGCAATTCTGCACATTTCCATACCACTATCAATAGGGTTTGCAATTTGGGCCTCAGATATTTCCCCTGTAAGTTTAAAAATAAAAATATTTTATTGGTATATCCATTTTACGGTCAACCGTACCCGGGCACAGTATAATGCAAATAATATATTTACAAAACCTTTATATATTGGGACACTTTGGCGCTCATACTGTCATCGATGGCTGTCATATCATTGTTGGCGCAAAACTCATAGGACTCAACGGTTACGCCGGTCTCGTGTCGGCCCGGTATGGGTTGGCCGGCGATGCCCTCCATTTCAATGCCCGGCGCCACCAATTGTTTAGTGACAGTGTTGTACCGGAACGGCATGTCCACCGAGTACTTCGCATAACGCTCATCAAACTCATCTAGGTTGTCAGCTTTACTATTGTCGCTGTGTGTTATCTGCTGTTGTTTAGTGGTCAATATAAAATAAAAGTTTTTACCATGCGCATTAAAAGTAGCGTTGTCAAAAAATATTTTAAAATTTTTGCATAAATTTTTTAAAAAAATTTTAATTTTTTGTATTTTACTGTATTACAGCTTATTTTTGAAATAGTAATTCCTGTATTTTCCAATGGACAAACAGATTAACAGAAAATTTATGTATATTTGTCAACGCTAATTAGAAGTAAAATTATTTGAATAACCCAGGGCAATAAAGACAATAGTGACTACACTGTATAATGTAACTACCGGTATAATTATATGTAACAAACTTTATATATACAGGTATTAAGGCGCTTATTGATAAATAACCTATCACCTATGCATTAACATTGTGGTGACTCGAATCGATTATTCAAAATTTACATAATATTAATATTGCGTTCATCACTTGAACAATAAGATACTTTATTAATAGTTTAAATTTTTTTTAAAAACTACGTCTAAAACCAAATCAATGTCTGACTTTTAAACCGGTTTTAGATATTTTTTTAGTGAAAAACTTGTCATTAATCTCGTTATAGACTTATGCTTGCATTCAGACTATTAAAGTTCAGTGTATTCTAGTGTTTATGGATAGGGTTTGATAAGTAATTAATTTTTTAATTAATTGTGACCTCGTTAAATTGGCCAATCCGTACGGGCAAACGTCGGGCCCGGAGTCCGTCAAACAGTACGCGCGGATCTATACGCAGACTGCGAATCATTACCGGCATAATTAGTTGTCGATGTGGGGACATGAGGGCCATCGATTGGCACAGGGCGTCCATAAAAGTGACCGGATTGCCGGTCCATTCGCACCGGCCGTACGCCATTCGAAAGTCGTCGGTCTCGATGGAGCGCAGCCGTTGAAAGGCCGGCCCGTACTCTAAGGCCAGCGCCCGGAAATCCCTATAGATGTCCGCCCGGTCTATGGTGTATGTATTGGGCCGATTGACACGCGGCTCCCACTCGTCGATGGACTCCTGGGTTATAAGTACGGACTTACATTTGGTATCAATGGTGGCCACACCGGCATCGCCTACGGTTGTGCGCGCTCGGCCCGTAACGCACAGTTCGTCACCTTCGTATATTGATATACCACCTTGTTAAAAAATATATATTTATATTATGATCAATGTTTAAATGATTAAAATAGGTCACAACATTAGTATACATTGTAATATCCGCTCTCCACTGTTACCGCATACAACTCGCCCCCCCCGTTATCAACCTTTCCTACATTTGTGTTATATATACCTAAAGGTGGATAATATTTAATGACAAGTTTAGTGTCGCACGTGTCCGACAAATACACGGCACGTTTGAAGTGTATGTTTTCAAACACCACCGGACACTGTGTCCAGAGTTTGCCAACACTCGCGGCCACTCTGCGCCACATAAACATCAAATGGCCGGCCGCGGGCACCACAGCCCGGCCATCAACTTTATGTTCAAGGTAAAACGAGTCGTGCGCCCGTAGGTGGCCAATCGTCACAATTGAATCGGCCGAGGTGGATTTAAAATATCGCTCAACGAATGGGGTTACGTAATACTGTTGCCGGTGATCCCATTGGATGAGGCTGGCGATCGATGGCGTGCCCCTGGGCACCGGCCACTCCACACGCGGGTACAGCCGATCGATTGACATATTAAAGCCCAGTCCGTAGAGTTGCGCCAAACCGGACAAAAACATATCCATATTTGTCTCGTTTGAGTCCTTTTTAAGTAACGCGATATACGCGGCGTTCGGTAGGGTTTCAGCCACTATTTGCCGAAACACGGAATGCGGACCCAATTCCAGGACAACGGCGTCGGCGGGCAGTGTCTGTAACCGATCGTGAAAACGGACCTCATTTACTAAATTATATTCAAAATACCCGCCGTCACAGTATTTGAACGCCCCGTCAGTGTTGGTCAACACCGATGTGGACAACCATTTTGGCGATCGTAGTTTAGGCACCGGTACTCGTCGATCGATGGCCTCTCTCATCGCTTTTGCACCATTGCTAACGTATGGTGAATGGTATGGGATTTCATCGCAATCTAATGGCCGCACGAATACGCCCTTTGATTTCAATTGTTTCATAATTTCTAACATTTCATTTATCGGACCTAAAAAGTAATATCAAATCATATATGTGTAATGCGAAAGTGAAAGGTGATAAGTATTGATCATTGAATAAATTTTGGTTAGTATCTACCCAGTCAACATAATCTGTCGCTGCGGTTTTTGTGATTACAGCTAAACTAGAAGAGCTAGATCAAATTAGTAAAAAGTAAAATGAAGGTCCACATGTNTGTGATTACAGCTAAACTAGAAGAGCTAGATCAAATTAGTAAAAAGTAAAATGAAGGTCCACATGTCTAGTTTTTTGTATCAAAAAATTATTGCAATCACGTAATCACAACACAAAAATTTTTGGGTCAAATCGATTTGTCATGTTTTGTGCCCACCTCGAGAAAGGCTAGGAAAGGGCAAGTATGCTAATCTTTAGAGAAGATGTCAAAGACTATGATAGCAAAGTTTGATTTAAATCCATTCAGCCATCTACGAGAAATTGTTAATTTTGTTAACATTAGGTTTATGGGGGAAAATGGTTCTGAAGTTGACTTTTTATAACAACAAAAATGTAGTATAAAAAAATCAAAATTGGGCTATTTTTGTCCAAATATTATGTCAAATTTCTTGAATATTTTGTTCCCTACAAAAGAATATTCACTTGATTTTTATGAAACTTTGTGTTTGTGATTTGCTTTATAACATGTTTAACAAAATTACTAATTAAAACTATTAGTCAATGAATAAAAAGTTAATAACCCATATTCATTCAATGATTAATACTTATCACTAAAGCCTTTCATATCATGCAAATGCATGTTTTTACCGGTTAGTTATATAAGTTTGGGACTTTGGGGGCAAACGAATCACATAATAAGGGGTGTTTTGAAGAACTTTTATTTTGCATATAAATGCATATTTGGCTCATAAATGCATATAACTGCATATTTGGTCTAAAAGCATAANCTTTTATTTTGCATATAAATGCATATTTGGCTCATAAATGCATATAACTGCATATTTGGTCTAAAAGCATAAAAACGCATTGATTTGCTTGAAAATAATAATTAAAATGTCTAATCTATTAGAAAATTTACAATTATTTAAAATTAATTGCATAATTTGACCAAATATTAAGTAATTAAACAAATATCTATCTGATTAACATTGTATATCTGTGTTGAAATATTACCTATTGTAGTTCTAGCAATTATTACAGCATTTTAAAATAAGCCATATATTTTTAATTTATATTTAATTTGTAATTTAAAATATTTAAATGAGTTTTTAAGGCCTATTGATCATTTTCATCATAACATTTCGTCATTTTGCTTATAAACTATAGTAAATAATATTAATATCGTATATTAACAGAATTATAAGTGCATATAAATGCATATTTGGCTCATTTCAGGTAATTATAATCTATGACATTTTGATTTGTATTTATTACCATGTATATGTTTAATGCGAAAGTGAAAGGTGAAGCATATTTGAGTGCATATTTGGCCACTTTTTAGTGCATATTATATGACATATTTGAGTGCTTATAAATGCATATTTTGAAAGGCTTTACTTATCACCTTTCACTTTCGCATTAAACATATACATGGTAATAAATACAAATCAAAATGTCATAGATTATAATTACCTGAAATGACAACATTATTGTTCGCGTTATTACATGCGATGTATACCTCGTTTTGACAGTATTTCAACGCCTGAGCTCTGGACAGACCCACGACTGCCATCAATCCTTTGGGTATATTTGCGTTTTGAACACTATTTACCCCACGTATGGCCGATACGGCAATCGCCTCATTAACTGTAAGACATCCGTCGGCAAAAGCGCAGGCAATCTCACCGAACGAGTGCCCTATTATGCCGTCGGGAGTAATGCCCAGTTCTTTGATGACCGCAAACAGCGCCACCTCTACTGCAGTCGTGGCCACAAATTTGGCGGTCATTGTGGCGATCGCTGTCTTGTCCTCCGAAAGTAATATGTGCTTCAAATCGATGCCAAACTCTTTGCTAACTATTTGATGGCATTCGTCGATAGTATCGGCGAATCGTTTGACTGGCATCAAAGCCCTGGCCATCGCCGGCCACTGACCGCCCAAACCCAGGAATAGTACCCATAGTGGGCGTATAGTTTTATCCGCCATAACTGTCACGTGTCTCTTGTATTTGTATTTTGTTTCGTTGTTAATTTCATTTGACATTTTTGTCATTATAGTTGAGCCTAAAATTTAAATTATTGGCTCAATTATAATAACAAAAATGTTATTGAATATTATTCATTTTTAACTTATGTAGTTTATTTATGTTCATACGTACCCCTGAACGGGAATCCCGACGAATTGACATTAAATTTATAATTCATAGTTTGCGTCAAAAGTGCCAAAAAGTCATTTGAAATTTTGTTGGGATTATTTTCGATAAAATTCATGATATGATTGACAGCGGCTTCACTTCTGCCGCAAATGTTGACAATTCTGGGCATAATATCGGCCACTCTTTGGTGGCCATCACTTGTGGCCAACTTATAGTTGGGTTCGAGCAATACATGTGCGTTCGCACCGGCGATATTGAAACTGTTCACCGCTGCCAAGCCTATGGGTTTAATGTAGTTATAGTTATAATTAATTTTATTATACAGTATTAGCTAGAGAATACTGACCACAACAAATTCAGCAGTCGTTCTAACTTTATATTGTGAGTACAAAAGCGCATGTGTAAAAAGCGTGGATTTTACAAAGTTGCATCAGTGCTGACACATGCGTTATTGTATTAACAAAATAAAGGTAGAAAGGCTGCTGGCTTTGTTGTGGTCAGCAATCTTTAGCTAATACTGTATGACATTCCGCGCGACGTACCTGGTGTATAATTTTGCACTTTTACCACGGGCTTAATGAACGGCAGTAATGGCGCTAGATCGTCGCGCAGTTGATGTAGATTGCGACATGGTGGTATGCGTTCATTTTCGTAAACGATTAGCAGTTTGATTAGTCCGCACAGACCGGCGGCGCCTTCTGTGTGGCCGATATTGCCTTTCAACGAGCCCACAGGTAACGGCTCCGTACGGGCCGTCGGTTTGCAATAAGCATTGTATATGGCGTTCACTTCAGTTACATCTCCCGCCTATTATAAGCCAAATATAAAAATAGACTCTATAAATATAATTAAATTATTATAATAAACAAGGATCACACAGCGATGCTATACGTTAACCACAATTCGAGTGATTCATTAAAGATTTTAAAATTTTTCAATGTTATTGTTGAAATATTTTCACTATTGTTATTTTGAAAATTTTAAATATTTTTGACAACAATTTGTTTGATTAATTTATCAGATTTGTTTAATATATCTCCATAGAATAAGTATGTATCTAAGTATCTCCGTGGCCTAAGACTTTGCATTACCCATAGACATCATTACTCATAGACTTATCATTGCCATAGACTTAACATTGTCCATAGACATAGCACTACCCATGTTATCCCTATGCCATAGACTTAAGCTGTAATTCGATAGAAACCCATGTTAAAGCATTCTCCCATAGACTTAACATTAATCCCATAGGATTAGCATGGAGAAAAACTACCCTTTCCTGTCATATTTCGCTTTCCCATAGAAAAATAGTCTCCCATAGG